TATATATATATATATATATATATATAATATGTAAAAATAAGGAAATAAGGAAATAAATAAATCCATCTATTCCATCCATCCATCCATGATGGTCTAAGCTATTATTATATAAAGCTATTATGTAATTTGCATGCAATTCTAATGTTTGCATATGCTTTTCAGCATGATATCCTAAATAAAAATCAATAAATTGCATTAAAAATACAAATGCAAAACTGAGAACTACAATCCCTAACAACAGTGTGTTTATTTCAGTGTATGAACATGTTTATCCTCAGTGGTTTGAAGTGCTGCTTCTTTTCTTTCTTTAGTTGCGGTTGAGGTGGTATTTCTGCCTTAATGTTGCGATGTTTGTCAGTTGTTTGACGTTAATTAGGCATGTCTTTAGACTACCAACGAATAAGGCCCAGCACCAGGGAAGATCTTGCTCCGGGCCCCCAAACAAACCAGAAATAGCGTCTGTTTCTCACCAGGATGTGAAGTACACGAGGAGCATCTGATTAAAGAGATACTGAGACCACGAGTCTGTAAAACAGCACCATACACACATACTGTAAATTACATCAAGTCACAGAAATTTAACTGATACTGGGTTTGATGTATTGTTGACATAATAATAAACACAAATTACATTTATGGAATGTTAATGTTCAGACATTCACAGTTTGAGACCTTTAAACCAATTACATTTACATTTAATCATTTAGCAGACGCTTTTATCCAAAGCGACTTTCAAATAAGGCAAAACACAAGCTATTTATCATAGAGGAGCCAGCGACATTAGCAGTGCCATAATACTGAATTTGAAGAGTAAACAAAAGCTAGAGCAGAGGTGCGACTGCAGAAGTAAAAAAAAAAAAAAAGAGATTTGAATTTGAATTTGATTAGGATGTCAGTGGAACAAGACTGAGAGGGGTGAAACATGGGCCGTCACCGGCCGGTTAAAGACCAAATACACTGGTGTTCTCAAATTGTGCTAGGTTTAATTGAGCTACTTTGAAGGCTGGCCAATACAGCACTGCAGTAGTCCAGTCTTAAGATGACAAAATCCTGGATGGATGTGACCATGTGCACACTAGAACACCCTAACAAACACAGAGAAACCAACTAACAACCATTCAGAACATTTTAGCAACTGCACAGCCTAGCAAAGCCAACATACTGTTATTGTACAAACCGGAGTTAGTTTTTTTCAATGTCTTAAATCAGTCATTCTGCCATTCAAATCAGTATCTGTCTGATCTGTTTCAGAGATCAGAGTTTTTTTTTCATAGAAGACACTGAAAAATGTCATAGACTTCCATTTAAACTTTTTGAATTCCAAATCCTTAATGCAGTATAAATGCCTAACATTGTATAAACTTCAAATGTCAAGATTGTTATAGACTGTTATATACATAGTTATGTACACTACCGTTCAAAGGTTTGGAGTCAGTAACATTTTGAAAAATGTTTGTCTCTTACACATATACATACATATGCATACATATACATATTTATAGATATATATCAACCTGGTCTCATAAAAATACGTACCTCTGGGTACTTTTCTGCAACACAGTTTTTACGTACCTTACTGCACGTTTCATATTTTATTGACTTACATTCATAGAATGTATTTAAAATGCAACTATGACATTGTCATCATAACATTCTGAACATTACTCTTTCTTACATCTATTTGCATACAGAATTCAGACTGGTCTCTCCTGTCTTGCCTATAATCACAGCAGTGTTGTATTGCATGTTTATTTTTATGCATAGCTGGCAGAAAATCAGACGTGTGCTGATTACCATGATGACATCAAGCGACTCTGATGCGGTATTTCTTATCACAAAACCAATTCAAGCTTAAAACTCAAACACTATTCATTTTGCTGCCTTGAAAGCACTGACATATCCTTTAGAAAATGCAAATCTAGTTGTTTTCTCCTCTGTTATCATCACAATCTCTTCTGCCTCCTAATCAGAGGATAACGTACTACAGATATGGATTAATTTAGCAATTTCAATACATCATTTAGGAAGCAACGAGAAAAAAGAGATGTTTAATAAGGTCTGCCACCAGAGAGAGCTCTAAGCTCTATCCAGGGCCATTTTGCTGTTTTGAGTGTGTTTTTCAATGCGTTTGAATGAAAGGCAAGTGTACTGAGCTGTTTGCTTGCAGTGATTCGCTCCATTTACCAACAAAGCCGAAACACTGACCAAGCATTCCTGTAAAAACACACACACACACACACACACACAAACATGCAGGTCTGAAGACATCACACAGACATGAATAAACGAATAGCGACCTAAGTTAACATTAAGATCTTCACTCAGAATTCACTTCACTTAAAGAATCTCCCAGTGCCACTGCTTTAGCAGACTGAATGCACATATTTCTTTGTATCCATCTTTTTTCTCCCCTCCTCCAATTCTTCACCTGATTTGTTCCTCAGCAGTGCAACCCAACGGGGATGTGTAAGACTTTAATTATCTATATAGAATAGGGCTTTGTGAACAGGTACTCCTCCGCAGATCCTTTCATACTCCCTGTCCTCCCCTCATCCTTTCTTTCTGATGTCATAGAGACCCTGCCTCAGCACCTCTCTCACCGATGTTACAGCGTGTGTGTCTGACACCGAGAGAGTGTTCAAATGAGAGAGAAAAGACAATTAGTACAGTTTAATCCGTTTTTTAGAGCGCTGAGCACATTTGAATTGTAAAGGGAGATTCGTGAACAAAGAGAAAGTTTTCTATTATAAAACAGACTCACACACACATACGATTTCAGAGCGAACTATTCTAGAGGTATTAAAACGGTCTCTAAATACAAAAGCACACACACACATCCACATACTGACACATATGTGTCCCCTCCCCCTCACAAAGGCGGCATTTCTCCAGAGGATCTGTTTCAATCTCCAAAATAAATCCAAATCCAGATATATCAGCACGTCAGCAGGCCCTTACGTATTCAACCCACTGCCTCTATTCTTCTCTCTCAATACAGCTTTCTTCCGCTGACAGCGGGATCAAACTCCGTCAGACCCCTGGGATATCATGTGTGAAAATCGTACGCATCACATGACTTCCTGTTGGTATGTGACTATAGTACAAGGCTGATTAACAGTGGTGGGCGGTTTTGGAGATTAAATTACATTAGGATGGACTGAAGAGTCAATAGGATTGTCAGTTCAGTTCAGTCAAATGTGAGAACCAGTGCAGTTTTCCTGTCTGGCTGGTTAGCAAAAGTATCTTTGTATTCTGTATTGTATGGCAAGCAATATATAAAATTAATTTATTATACATATGTATACAGTTCAAAAGTTTGGGGTCGGTAATATTTTTTCATGTTTTTGAAAGAAGTCTCATCAAGTGCTCACCAAGGATTCATTAATTTTTTTTTAATCAAAAATACAGTAAAACAGTAATATTTTGAAATAACTCTCTTCTATTTTAATATATTTTATAATGTAATTTATTCCTCTAAAGACAAAGCTGAATTCTTAGCAGTCATTACTCCAGTCTTCAGCATCACATGATCCTTCAGAAATCATTTTAATACATGGATCATAATATATATATATATATATTGTGATCCATGTATTAAAAAGATACGGGTTTGGAATGACATGAGGGTGAGGGTGAATAGTTGACTATTCCTTTAAAGGCATCTTTTCTTTTTATGTTTGAATTTAATAGGATTCACACTCTCTTCAGTTTCCTTCAGCTTCTAAGAGCCATCAATGAGGACTGTGAGTTCAAATCCCCAAAGGAAAGATAATACACTCTGGATATCTGACAAACTGCCAGGATGGACACAAATGAGGTGTTTTTGGGCTGCAAATCTGATTTGATCTGATTATTTGTCGAGCTCAGGCTAGGAAAAGACATAAAAATGGCAGATTGTTTAAGTATGTGTAACCCCCAGCAGTTTGTAGATGATTGACTGTGAAATGCTCTGTGTTTGACACGTGTGAGTGTGTGTGTTTAATACTCCTCTTTTTTGAATGCAGGTGAGTATGAGTCTGTTAACAGACGGTGGTTTATATGTATGGTTTAAGCTACGCCTGAAACTAAACCTCAGCAGAAGGAAGGATGGGTGTTGTGGAATGTCAGTTGAAAGAATTTCGTCTTACTAAAGTGAAGGACAGAAAGGACAACGATCAAACAATTTAGAGAGATGCAGTTGTGGGATACACAGTCAAGGGTTAAGCATCAAAGAGTGGGACAAAGATGGTTTCAGGTAGAGAGTGAAATGACACTTTATTTGTTGTGTCTCTGTGCAAGAACAGGCAAATTATTACATATGCCATTTATCGCCACATCTACATAAAAGACTTTGGACTATCTACATAAAATCTGTGTCCATTTTTCTGTTATTCTGGCCAAGACCAGCCAACTTAGACAGAAAGATACTGTCTGGATGACATATGTGACCCTGGACCACAAAACCAGTCATAAGTGTCAATTTTTCAATATTCATCTGAAAGCTGTATAAATAAGCTTTCCATTGATGTATGTTTTGTTATGATAGGACAATATTTGGCTATGTATTTTTGGCTATTGCTACAAATATACCCCAGTGACTTAAGACTGGTTTTGTGGTCCAGGGTCACATATACATTACGCTTTAACTGCATAGGAAAATGCAGCTCAGACATTCTGCTAAATCTCTCTAATCATACGGGTTGGGAACGACATGTGGGTGAGTAAATGATCACAGAATTTTGGGTGAACTTTCCTTTTAAAGGGCATGCCAAAAATTTCCAGCACATGAAAGGTCGTGGCAGCTCTAACAGGGTCATATGCATGATTAGAAACCGTGGCCCAAAATGTGGGACAAAGGACTCTGGATTGGAGTGAACACTTCAGAATAGAGATAAAGCGACCTCTACGTCTAGTCATTCCTCTTTTACACTCTCTCTCTTTCTCAAATTAAGCTGAAAATGTATGTGCTATAAATTATGAAGCGGATAACTAGGTTGCTGTTCATTGGCTGTTACGATCCCTCATTTGTCTACTGCACATTGCATACCAATGTTTATTAAACAAAGATTAGATTTGAATTAACAAGAAATGGCATAAAAAATAATCATTTAATTCATCATTTAATCCACAGCTGTGGCCAGATAGCTGAAATGGGCTTGTAAACCACAAATATCTGGTTCCAGGCTATTTAGCCCAACATCCTAAAAGCAGAAACATAGCTTTTGCACAAATCCACTGCTTTTGTACTGTTCCTTTAAGGATATCAGTGTCCAATCTTACCCAATAATAAATTGAGATGTTTATTTAGAGAAATGCCCTCATCTCCCAATGGTTGCTTAGCAACAACTGTATTATTTTGGGCAAGGGTGATTAATATTAAGAAGTGTTCTCTGAATACCTCTGCACAAATCCTCCCCACTTTTGCGTTAACATACGTGTGTGTTTCTGTGTGTGCGGTTTGTGCCATCTGTGAGGAAGCAAAGCAAAGACACACAGTGAATACATTTCAATTAAGTTATATTATATTTAGTTAACCCGCATGTTCATTTGAGATTGACTTTACTTTTTTGTTGTTTTTATGACTCAGAAGCCCCAATGACTCACATAAATTAAAAATAATAATAGTAGTTATAAAAATAACAAATTAATTAGCTCATCTGAGCTAATCACAATCCAGTAGGTATATTGAGGCTTTCCCCCTCTGTTTTGCCACACTTTTCAGAAATCTAACTAGCATCCATTTCAGTAACTTCACTTCTGTTCACAATCAGTATTGTATAAAGCGCTATATAAATAAACGTGACCTGTTTAGTGTCGAGTGGACCCCTCCAAAAAACATTTCTGAAAAATACAATAAAAGAAATTAAAATAAACAACTGACAGGACTGTATCAAAAAAGTTAGCATGTGAAATTTCATTGCATTTATGAATGCTTTGTATCTGGGTTCTCTGAGACTACAAACAAAAGTAATGAAGCACTTTTTCATCAAAGGATGGTTGATGCATGTTATCAAGCTGACATTTTGTTTCTAATCAGATCTCAAAAGATTAGAACAAGCAATGGAGTTTCAACCAGATATTTCAATGTTTATTGGTATATTTTCGAGCCCTTAGGGGCTCTAAGAGCCCATACAGAACATGAAGGTTAAGATGAACTCTCATCAGTCCAATTCAATATAATACAAATAGATAGTCAAGTCTTTCCTGCATTGTTGCTTTCTATTTGTTCATCTTGGCTGGCGACTGCATAAAGACACAGGAAGAAAGGTCACCTTTTTTTCCCTCTTTTCATGTTGAATGTGAGTCAGCCCAGTCTCTTTCTGTCTCATTTCTTCCCACTTTCTTTGTTTGTCTGCGATATTTGAGTTGTGTTTATGTGTGTGTGCGCACACATAAGAGTGTGTGAGTTCCCCTGTTGTCATTAATAATGTTTGGATGTGATGGGTTCACACACAGCACACTCTATCTGTCTCTCTCTATCCGTCACTCATCATCCCATCATCCCATGCTCTCACATCATCATCTGTTTCGCATCTATGGCAGGGAGCATGAAAAATGATTTCGATAGCTCATCTCTCATTATAGCAAAGTAATGGCCATATACATCATACATATCGCATAGTATTACACAGTAGCATCAACAAATGCTGGGAATAACTAGTATTAGACCAGCAATATCCTCTTACCTGCTATATACTTATAAAACTGCATGTGTTTAAGTTTGCATGTGTGTGTGTGTGTGTGTGTGTGTCTGTATCTGTGCGTGTCCAATAAGATTTCTGTAGGAAGTGCTCAGCGAGGAGCGATTCCCTCCTGAAACGTTCTAAAAGCATTAAATATTCTTCCACCAGCTCAGAATTCTGTCTCCATCTCTCAGAACCTCCTTTCATGTTCTTTAATGCTCTTCTTTCCTTCAAAGTCACTCTCTCTCATTTCCACTGAATTTCTTTAATCATGTCACCTGCAACCCACACCTGCATACCACACATTTGAACCAGTATATCTAAAATTAAAATTATTATTTTATTATTTATTCTATTTATTCCATTTTTTATTTAAATTTTCTTTAATTTATCATTTTTAATGTTTTGTACATTTAATGTTATAGCTGAATGATTTCTGTCAAATTTATTGATACTTTATTTGCTCTGTATTAAATTTTTGTATTTAATTCATTAATTATATTGAATTAATATAAAAAAAAATTTCTACAAAAGTAGAAGTTTCACAAATAAATAAATATCTTTGAAATATATGAAATATGTTTAAATTCATTAAATGCATTTGATAGCGGTGACCTAAAAAAGATTTATTTTTCTTGGAGCGGGTCGCTTTAAGGCACACATTATGTTGAGATCCCCTGATCAGCAGGAAAATACTTGTTTTATCCCAATTATCATATACTTTCACTCATAGAATAAGAACAATAGAATAAGAACAATTGACTGAAAACTGAATGCCTGAATGATGCTACTCCTTGCCACCAGGTGTCATTATAAGTCTAAGACGGCATACAAATTTACTGAGAAAAGATTTAATATTAGCCTACTTCTTCACTACAATTGTAAGTTAATTTAAATTAAAATACTATTTAGATTCTCATGATTCTGCAAAGGATTTAGAAATACAAAAATGTAGTTTTTTCAATTGAATTGAAACTGAATTGAGAAAGAGAGATGAAACTGAACAGTTTCAACGATATTCACAACACAACAAAGTTCGACTCTGCTGGGTTGTATTATATGAATTCAGCTACCAACGCACTCACCGTCTAAACCTATAAATTACTCATCATGTGGTCAGTGTGTCTCCATTCGATGAGTGGTGTCCTGCTCTCTCTCTCTGCTCATTCTGAAGACAGAACATGGTCAGAGCCGCCACAATATGCTCCAATCTGCTCATGTTTCCAACATGCCTGGATCCAAAGTCTCCGCCAAACAAACAGACGCGGCTCCATCCACCACACACACACACACGGTTCAGTTCAATGCACACGCTAACAGACCAGCGCACATGCGCGAACAAGCACATCTCTGTCCGTTACATATATTAAAGCGGACGGTATGCGTGTGTTAACATGCACAAGGAGCTCGGATCAACACACACACGCACAGTGAAATCCAAAAGAAGGCCCGCTTAATGTTTCGGCACCATATGGAGCGGCTATTGTGGGGAGACAACAGCAGATAATTAGCATAGAGGATTTGCATTTATGAGAACGACTTCCATTCAGAGCGTAAACAACATAGCATCATAATGCTGACTATAGCAGCTATCTGTCTAGCAGGGGAACTCCTTTCTCAGGCGTTAACACACACACACACATACACAAATGCTGCTGCTGCTGAGTTAGCGCATAACTGCATGAGTTTAAACATTCTTGATGAGTCTCTTTTAGTAACAGTTTGACGTCTTTTCAATAACAAAAACAGTTCACATTTTTGAAACTGTTTTGCTTGTGTTTTTGTGAGTAAATCCATTACAATGACTCTCTTTTTACTTACACAATTTCTTGCACAAACACAATGCAAATACATAAACCACACCGGCTGTGTTCAGAATAGAATACTACCATGCTGCTTACTCTGCAGTATACTGTATACTGCCTATTACAGTATTTCAAAAAGACAGCACACAGAGTTTCACTATAATAAGAGGAAAATTCATGGATTAAAAGTGAATTGTGCCCATTATTTGCATGCTCTTTCTGCTATTGCCAATTCAGTAACTAAATTTAAGTGCTATGTTGTGGAGGGTGCAGCAGTGTTGGGGATTTTTAGCTGGGATTGTAGAGCAATTGGCTCTTTAAAATGCCAAAAGTGCATTCCGCTGCACCAAACACCTGGATATATGCCCAGTTATAAAGCTTTTCTACATAATTTCATCATTATTTGATGAATTAATTGCTGCCATGATCAATAAAAAATGTTCACAAACATCTCTTTAAAGTAGTATTCAATTTACTGCCAGCTTTCCATAAGCAGTATGCCAAACAAAACATTATTGTCAGTGCTATTTGATGCAAACTTTAATTGCATCAAACAGCACTGACATTTGTAGATTTGGTACATATAACTATGCATCATACATGGTGCCATTTAAAAATTTAGGGTGAGTACAATTTATTTATTTTTGTCAAAGAAACTAATACTTTTATCAACGATGCATTAAATTGCTAAAATTGACAGCAAATACTTTTACATTGTTACAGAAGATTTCTATCCTAAATAAATGCTGCTGGTCTTTTGCTATTCTTTTTTTTTATTAAAGAATTCTGAAAAAAAAACCAACAACATAAAAAACTATCACAGTTTCCACAAAAATATCAAGCAGCAAAGCTGTTTTCAACATTGACAATAATAATACCTCCAGATCAGTATATTTAAATACTGCTGGTTGCTGAAAATTCATCTTTGTCATCACAGGAATGAATCACTTTTTAAAATATATTAAAATAGAAAACACATATTCTACATTGCAATAGTATTTCACCATATTTCAGTTTTTATTGTATTTTATTGTCATTATTGTACATTATAATCAATTATATGCCTTGGCTAGCATAAGAGACTTTCAAAAACATAAAAAAAATAATCACTGACCCCAAACTTTTAAATGGTAGCATACATCGATATAGCGTATAGCACCTGGCAGAAGCACCATTCATCACTAGTGCCCCCCTAAAAAAAAAGAAAGAAATTGAGCCCCCTCAAGATGGCCTTGGCACTTGGTTATTTTAAGAAGTGAGTGATATGGCAAGAAAATGCAGGATTTCATTCAGAAACACTTTGGCTAAAATGGTGCAACTGTTTGAATGTTTAATTCAGTGAGCATTCTTTCTATTTCCATTCTTAATCCAGGTTTATGCAAACATTTTGGCAGACCCTTCAAAAAATGAGTCAACCAGACAAATCATGAAAAACCCTGACTGATATCGCCTCCGGTTCTTTTGTCACCCTGGATATAGAAGGTCAAGTCGAGGGTAGTGCATCATGGGATACAATATTCCATGCACTATGCTCTGGCTCTATACTGCACATTTTAACAAATAGCAGGTTATCCGGGTAATCCATGCATTCAGAAAATGTGCATACTGTGCACAGCATATTACATATTACGTTCTTTCAAAAATAATACCCCCCCCAGCATACACGTACACAAGCAGAGGCTGTTCTTACCGAGCTGCACATCCATGGTGAGAAGCTTGTTTTCAGAGGGAAACAGAATCCTGGGGGGCTCTTCAGTCAGAGGAGCTGAAACACACACACAGAGCGTTATTATTACTAAGTGACATCAAGCACCTCTGATGAAGCACACACTGTCTCCCTCTCTCTGCCCACACATTCGTGATTGGATGAGTAAACTCCAGCATCTCGCCATCAACATCTCAGCGAGAATTGTCTTGGTCTCCCCAGTGCTCTCGTTTCTGTTCTTCTTGACTTTTTTCCCCCTATCCATCAATCCTCCCCACATCCCTCTCTCTTCAGATCTTCCTCTACACATGTGGGCACGATGCTCCAAATTCCAGCTCATTTCCTTCGAGTCAGAGTTGTGTACGTGTCTCTCTCTCTCTGGTGATTATGCTGACTGTGTTTGTTCAGTTGGCTTTTCTCAAGCACAGGATTGCTGTAGGTAATACTACACGCACCATGTCACTGTGGCTGCATACGTGTGCGTTTGCATTCAGCTTCATGTAACTCTTAAATCTCGAGGATGTATATTTGTGTGTGTTTGTCGCGGCTCTAGATTGGTTCTGGGTTGCAAGTGTGTGTGTGTGTGTGTGTGTGTGTGTGACGTGGGGGGTGCACTTAATAGACAGCGAGCTGGTGGAAGTTTAAGCCGCGCGATCGCTCATCCAAAATCCAATTTTCACTCGGCGGAGAAAAGCGCACTGGCCCCTCCCGACGGATTATTCCGGGTGACTGACGGATAGCACACAGCAAATTAATGAATTACGCTTCCGGAATATACACATCTCGCTGCTGACTTATGCTGCACATTTCCCGGTTAAAGTTGTAAAGGGAATGGACATATTAGTTCACTGGAAGTGGATGGTATGACTAAAATCGTAAATCACTGTGTAAGAAAACCAATATCACAGTAATGGTATATCACAATGTAGCTGTATGATGGAAATTTAACAATAAATAACATTAGTCATGTGGTAGTGCTTGTTTTTGGATAAGCATATTAACAATTTTTATACTTATTGTAAAGGAATACCCTATAAGTTTTTATTATCTGAAACGTGCTGAAATTTATATTCTACAGTGACTTATATAAAGCAATTAACATCAAGCATGCAAAACATGCACAAAATGGACACAGTTACATTCATGCTGAATGAAAGAGGTACCTGAGCATTTTTAATGGTGCATTTTCCATATGCCGGCCCAGTAGTTCCAGTTTCGTTTTAAATAAATTTGTTGTGGGCTTAACGTCTATAAGAAATGTAGTTTATAATGAATGCCATTATAATTTTTTTTAATACTTATATTTTTCATTCCTGTCCTGAAAACCATTACATTTAAAGGATTTGGGGGAATTAAAATGCTTATAGTGTTTATAGTATAAACATTTAATGACTGGTATTTTACATTATTTCTGAATGTGACAATAAAATGTGGCTTATCTGTGTTTTTTCTCTCTCAAAAATTCAGTTTTGACCCATGTGCGACCTGTTTTCTGGAAAATATGGTAGTTCAACAAAAAAAATATTGTTTACCTATTATCATATTGTTCCAAACCTGTATGACTTTCTTCAGTGGAACTCAAAACTCTAGTATTTTTTTTTTTTCAAACTGAAGCTATCAAGCTTCAAAAAGGACACCAAAGCGCCAACTCGTGTTCTATTTTTTTTTTAAAAGTCATATGATAAGTCTTTGTTTAAGAAATAGTTTTGTTTAAGACTGAAATTTAAGTTGAGTTGGATCTTTTGTAATGAATCAGCTGATCCCGTTCACAAACTGGACGGATATGATTCTTGAAACTATAGCCCTATTCGAACAGTAATTGTTTCCCATTGGGATGAATGTAGAAATAAATTTGCATGGCTCCTTGGTAGTAAAACTCATGCGTTCAGAAGATGATTTATTGAAGGAGGTGGAGGAGTTTATTGGTGGAGGAGTGAGTTTTGTGATTCTACATTCGCAGAAATGCGCTTCTCATGTGGTCAGTCATATGTTCAACATTCATTTAAATATCCTATTTAACATTAGGAAAATTGACACGCTATGGTTTAAACACAACCTCTTATTTACATAAGGCAAACATTTGACCCAGTTAGTTGACTAGTAAATTGATTTAAGAAATAAAAGTCTATTTTTAAAATGCATGCACATAGTGAGGCACAACAGTTACTGTACGGCGCATGGCAGTGGTCAAAAAAGCATTTACAAAATAACTTTTTAATTGATCCCATTTGGTAAACTCAGAGATGTGGATTGAGACAGCAAAAACATTACCACACAACCTTGGTGTTTGTCAACAACAGTCAGTAATTAATCCAGGAATTTTTATGTGGGAAGCATCATTCTGGATTCGGGAGGTAATAAAATCACTGACTAGCCCCTGTAAATGTTAAAAAATACCCTACGTCCATGTAAATAACAAGATTAACTGTGGCCTGATTCTTCTTCACAAAACCATCAATGATTTCAGAATAGCTGTAATACAGAACACCTTTACTGTACTTTTTTTTCTTGCAACCTTCAGTCTCCATTCATTGTAATTGCATGGGAAATGCAGCCAGCACAGCCTTCAGAATAATCCTTTTGTGTTCCATGGAAGAAAGAAAGTCATACAGGTCTGAAACAACATGGGGGTGAGCAAATGATGAAAAATAATTCGCAATTTTAGGGTAAACTATTCCTTTAAAATATATATTTTTAAGAATATGAGGGTCTTTGATATGCCTGTCAAGACTGTAACTATCATAACATGCTTTAAACGCAGCTAGAGGACGCGTGGAGATTGAGAGGATGAGAGAAAAGAGAGAAAGCGAGAGAGAGAGAGAGAGAGAGAGAGAGAGAGAGAGAGGATGAGTCACCATACAAATTGCTTGCTGTCTGGTAGAACAATTACACAGCTATAATCTAAGCAATGAGCAATGTAGTTTCACCATGACTCGAACCCACAACCATGACAAACACCCTCAATATGAAGATGCTATCATCTCTATGTCTAAAAGTAAAAAGAGAAAGAGAGAGACAGAGAAGAGAATTCACTAAGATTGAATTGCACCCACTGACAGCACCATTTATTTGCGAACACTGTCTGCGTTGTTTTAGCTCCCAATTCACTAGCGCCCACAGAATCGGTGCTGAATTTTGATAGAAATGAGGTGTTTGCGCTAAAAAGAATCAAAACGATTCGTTAGAAGCTGTTTTTCTTTTTTGCCTTGAAATACTGGATGCAAAAATGGCGTGACTGTTTTGTGAATTTGTCCCTGAGAGAGAGGAATACAGAGGGAGATGAAAAGAGAGAGATAGAGTGTAAATCGGGGTTGGCTCAGAAGCAAGGGATGAGTGTGACGGAAAGATGGTGTGATACAGAAAAGGAGAGAAATAAAAACACTCAGGCCAGCGCGGTGGGGAGACTGGTTACACTCAGCAGGGGAGAAGACACACAGATACATATACACACACACACACACACACACAGAGATACATATACACATGGACACACACGTAAGCACACATTCAAACACGTAAGCACACATTCAAACACACGTTTCATAAATGTATATGGCCCGAAAAAATAACAGGGCATGCTTAAAATTGTATACTACGCATTAGATAACTACACATTTACAAGTTGGAAGTCTGAATACGAGTGGTGTTCTGTTGCACTTTTCCAGGCAGGATGTTGGACATTCTGTTTTTCTGAGTTGAATGGGACACAGCACCTGGACATGGGAGGCACCTGTGTGAAATTGAGGGGAACTGACTCTACTTCCACTAAAATGATCTTGGAATCAGTTGGTTAAAAGTAATAGAAAAATATGTTGCAATTGCTCATTCAATTACATTCATAAATTGTTTAGTGTGTATTTTTTTGGATCATCAGTCAACAAATGTCATGATGTCAGGATGATCGCAGACACAGAGGTGCAGCTTTAATTTAACAGAATTTAATTTAAACCGTCACATTCATACATGATCAATTCAAGTCATTTCAAGTTTACTTTGATTTGAACCTGACAGAAAGTTATGTCATCTGAGTTAGAGAGTTATTCACTTTGTAATTAGTCTGTCCGTCCATTTCCTCCAGTTTGCCCCATTCATGCGGATGTGTGGAACACTGCGATACGACCCATATTTCAGCCAAGATTCCGAAATAATTGTTTTGTGCTATGTATTTTCATTCTCAAATGTTGCCACAGATGTAGGACTCAGACATTTGTTAAAATCTCTCTCTATCGTAGTTCATATTGCATAACTCTTTGTAGCCAGTATGCAGTGTGCAGTGCAGGGTAAATAATTCACATGGCCCTCTGACTACTGTAACACTATTTTTCCATTACAGATAAACCCAAAACAAGGGAACGGCTAATCAAAATCATGCACCTTAAATGGCCTGAGAACCGTATACACAGATGTAACGCACACCTTATGTAGCAGCAGCTTAAGCTACAAGATAAACCCTGTGTGATCTTTAGCCTGCAAAAGTGTCCTAGCATTAGCCAGAGAGCACGGTTCGCTGGTGAAACTAGGGCACATTTGATACTTGCGAGGACACGAGAATGTATTCATTGAGATCACTGCAGCACACTGCGCTGGATACGAATCACTTTTGTAGAGCATTCAGAATATCTGACTCTATTTTCAGTGATGACAGAGATTTTCATGCTGTGCATTATTCCTGTTCAGATGTCCTTGAGAAATAAACTGTGAGATAAAAGGAAGCTCTGAGGGGAAGATCTACTGGAGTGGAATGTAAAAAAGGTGGAATGTGTATTACTGTCGTGTGTGTGCAGGGCCGGAGCTAATGGGGTGAAAGGTGGGAATGATTCTAAGGAACTAAATGTCCAGAGGGGCCCATAAGAATTGAGACAGGATTGATGTAGCATCTGGTATAATTATTTGAATATATTTTACATTACAATATGGCAAAAAAAAAAAAAAAAAAAACACAAATCATGCTTTAACTATTTTTACTCAGTCATTCAAGTTATTTAATATGTGGTCGCCTAAACCTAAATGAGATATATTACATTTTGTAGTATATATTACTAATATAATAACAATTGATG